GGGTCTGAGGGAGGAGGGGCTGGGGGCCTGGACTCTTGGGTCTGAGGCAGGATGGGGCTGGGGGCCTGGACTCCTGGGTCTGAGGTGGGAGGGGCTGGGGGCCTGGACTCTTGGGTCTGAGGGAGGAGGAACTGGGAGTCTGGACTCCTGGTCTGAGGGAGGAGGGGCTGGGGATCTGGACCCCGGGGTCTGAGGGAGGTGCACCAGGGACCTGAACCCAAGAGTCTCCAGAAGGAGAGAGCTAGCAGTATAGCGTCCTGAGCATTAAGTTTTGTGTCCCTGGAGCTTGGATTTTGAAGGCTGTGTCATCAGGGACCAGGCTTGTGCTCCCCTGATGTCCCCCCTCCGGTGACCCCCACACCTTCCAGGACGGCAGGCGTCTTCCCAGCCTCAGCAGTAGCCCAGGGCCCCCAGCTGATCATCCACTCAGTGGACAGACTGGTCAACACCACGTTCATCTGCACGGTCACCAACGCCGTGGGCACGGGTCGCGCTGAGCAGGTGGTCCTCGTGCGAGGTGAGCGGGTCTTGGAGGTGATCGGCTCCCCAGGTGTTCCTCCCTTTGGGGTTCGGGGGGTGCCGCGTTGGGGGGAGGCTGTGCCGCCGGCCTGGGGAGGGATTCAGACCCGCCTCGCCGATGAGAAAGGAGGTCAGCGTGGCTCTTCTCTCTTGCCCCCAGGTGGGATCTGGATTGGGATGACAGGGTAGGCCACTGGTGGGAGAATGAGGAGGATGAGGCCTCTGCTGGGGGCTTTCTAGAAACTAGAGGCGTGGAAAGAGTCTCCAGGAGGAGACCCAGGGACATTGCCCCGGGCTCCAGTTGGAGAGACACATCAGACAGCTAGACAGACACAAACAAACGCATTTGAATACTGATTTCCTATAGTGAATGCTGGTCAAGTCACATCAGGAAGTCAGTTTTTGCGTGAGTTGGGACATTTGTGTTTCTAGAGGGGGTGTTTTGGAAATGGCGTCTGATGTGTTTATGGGTCGAAGGTTCTGTGAGTCTCCCTGATATGAACTCAAACTCAGATGGGCCCCAAGACGGGAGCGGAAAAGAACAAAGCCAAACTAGGCCTGTGGCACCAGCTGATGCAGATGGGGTCGAAATCACAACTGTAGACCCACACACCTGGAGGGAGGCTGTGTGCCCCGAGACATAGACACGGGGACCCCAGGGCTGGGAACAGAGTCCCTTTCATGTCACAGTGGGCAGAACCCACATCTCCAGAAACATACTCTGTGCTTTGAGATTGCATCGGAATCAAAACAAACTCACCCAAAACAACCCGCACGCTCAGACCCACCGTCACCAAAACACGCACCCCCAAGAGAGCAGGGGCACACGCACTGAACAAAGCCAGGTGACACCCGGCCAGAGTCTCCCAAGATGCCACGTGTAGCTGAAAAAAACCGTTCTTGGAAACACCCGCCCAGCGCCACCATCCATGCAGAATACCTGTGCAAACGCAAACACACACCACCGGGAATAGTGGCCTTGGTGAGTAGGAGAGGGGGCCCCTCAGAAATGTGACCAAAGACAAACGTACGTAAGTGTGAGGGCAGACACACCCATACACACCTGGAGACGGGCGCCATGGCCAGAGACGGACAGAAACAGATCCCCTTCCTGAGACATAATCTTACACTGCACTTACACGCACACGTACACACACATACACACACACACAGCCCTGGAGGGAGACGCTATCACGCAGACGTGCCGACGCGGGGTGGGGGAGAACCCGGACAGCAACAATTCCACACGCAGAAACCGTCACTCACACGCAGATCCTGACAACGAACCGCAAAGACGTCCTCAGAGGTGCACGCCCGCAGAAACTCTCCAGAAACCCTGCTGCTTTCAACGGATCGTCATCTGACAAGTATTTGTTGAGGGTTCCTCTTTGCTGAGCATTCCCCTTGGTGTTGGGGATACGATGGTGAACAAGACGCAGTCCCCACCCACCCTTGAAGACACACCCAGAGAGGAGGGATGCCCGACTGGAAATCTATCCCCTGAACCTCTATCCCAGATACACACCCGGGAAACTGGCCTCCCCACGTGGAGTCAGGAGGCACCTGTTAGGGGCAGAGCCTGCAGGACACAGATGTAGCCACGCCTAAGGCTCCTCACAGGAATACACAACCACAAACACATGGATGCCCCCCTAAGACCCTTTAAAACACACAGAAATCCCAGGGCTGTCCCCCGCTGGAAACCACCCCCTCCAAGGACAGACCAGCTTCAAAGTTAAGCCCTTCATCAATATTCACCCTGTAAAACACATATTTAGCCCTGTCAGGAACTGGTGTGTGTGTGGGGGGGGGCGCGGCCAGCAGGGAGTGGAGCACACAGAATCACGCCCCCCAGAGAGACTCAGCCCTGTGGAAAGACACCCCTCCTCTGCAGGGAGCCCGATGCGGGGCTCGATCCCAGGACCCTGGGATCATGACCTTAGCGGAAGGCAGACGCCTGACCGACTGAGTCACCCAGGTGCCCCTCAGTCCCAGCTCTTGAGTCACATCCGGAGGGTCTCAGAGACTCACCGCATTCCCACACACGCCCAGACGCAGACGTGCGGTCACAGACACGTGGTTCGGGGTTCACATTAGTGAAGTCTTAGGTACACAGGTTGTGCCACAGGCTAGACATGGCCTCAGGGAGACTTGGAGAACTTTTGCCCCACAGACCAGTGAACACACCCACCAGTTCCAAAATACCACCTCCAGAAATGCAGATAAACATTCCAGCATGCGCCGAAACAGGTTCCCAGACGTCACTGATGGGCATTCCCACCAAGAAAACTGTCATGCCTCTAACCGGTGTACCGGTGTAGACGTATTTCCAGAAAAAAATGTTTCACAAAATAGTACTTACCCTTCCTACTTCGGAGACACTTTTTCTATTCTACCTTTTTTTTTTTTTTTAACTGCTCCTTGTGAATCACTAAATGCATTTGACAGCCCAGGGGGTCATGGCTCTATTTGAAAACGCCACTCTTAAAAGAAACAGGTGCCCTAAGGAGCTTGGATCCCAGCCCCTCTGCAGGGTGTGGGGAGGAGGGGTTTAGGTGTAAGTGGACTCCCCCCTCGCCCCCCCCCATTTCTCCCCATCAGGGCCTGCATGCAGGGGTGGGGGAAGAGGCGTGTATAAAATGGTTCTAGTTCAAACTGCTTCAATGTCTATTTGGTGTGGGGCCCAGACCCCCCCCTCCCTCATCTCTCCTGCCCCGCCCCCTGGACCCTTAGTATTCCCTGGCTTCCTTCTCCACCTTTCCCAGACCCCTCCTCTCCCAGCTGCTGGCCCACTGCCAGGAGCACTGGCCTAAAGGGCGGGACAGTGGGCTTCATGAGCCCCCATTTGCCACAACTGGGGACATGGCCCAGATAAGAGGGAGACCACATCGCCTGGACCAGGTGCTCCCAGCCACTTCGAAGGGGGAGGAGGATTATCAGGAGGACCCTCCCCCTTCTTTCCTCCTTCTCTCAAGTCCAAAGGCCTTTGGAATCTGACAGTCTTGAGCCCAAATGCAGCTCTGCCTCTTCCTGGCTGGATCCACCCAAGATTCCATGACTCTAACCTCAGAGCTTTTGTGAGAAACCACCCCAGCCCGTCCCGAGCGGGTCGCAAACTCAGATGCCTACGGGGTCCTGGCCAGTGACCAGGTGGCCAGGGGTGGAACCCCTGTTCCGACCCAAGCAGCCAGTCTTCACTCAGCTGCTGCCCATCACCAAGTGGAGATGAGAGATCGGTGTGGCCCGATCTGAGTTTCTTTTTCCCTGAAAGAAATCTTGGATTTTTTTGATGAAATCGCCTGGTTTTTGCAGTGTTAGCAAGTTTAATTTTTGAAAAGCCCTGTGCAGGTCTAAGGAAACACGTCTGGGGGCTGTCAGTTGGCAAACCCCGGCCCCTCACCGCCGCAGTCCCCCCTCCCCCAGAACAAAGTGCCTAGTGTGTGTAGCACAGAACAGACGGGTTCTCCCTTACCCTCCACCTTCTCCATCTTCTGCACAGAGTCACCTCCCCAATTTTCCCATCACTGCCCCTGTTGTACCCTGTGCCCCCCCCACCACAGATGTGTCCTCTTGACCTCGTGTCTCCCTTTCTCTCTCTCACCCCTCCTTCTCTCTCCTCAGACACACCCCGGGCCTCGCCCCGAGACGTGGGTCCAGTGGTGTGGGGGGCCGTGGGGGGGACACTGCTGGTGCTGCTGCTTCTGGCTGGGGGGTCCTTGGCCTTCATCTTGCTGAGGGTGAGGAGGAGGAGGAAGAGCCCTGGAGGAGGAGGAGGAGGAGGAGGAGACAGCATTGGAGGATCCTACGATCCAAAAACTCAGGTGTTTGGGAATGGGGGCCCCGTCTTCTGGACACCAACCGCCCCTGATCCCCTGAAGCCAGATGGCAAGGATGAGGAGGACGAGGAGGAAGAGGAGGAGAAAGCAGAGGAAGGTCTCATGTTGCCTCCACCCAAGGCTCTCGAGGACGACATGGAGTCCCAGCTGGACGGCTCCCTCATTTCACGGCGGGCAATTTACGTGTGACCCCGAGACAGACAGAGACAGAAACAGAGCCAGCCATGCCAGCCAAAGGGTTCCAGACTGGTTGGACTCGTTTTTCTGGACGACACTGGAGCTCAAATGCTCCCTCCCACTTCCCTGGGATTGGGAGGGGGCTGGAATCACACACTGGACTTGTGTCTCCAGGGCTGCATGGGGACCCAGAGAGGACCCCCCACCCCGGAGAACTTGTTTTTGGCTCTGGCCTGCCCTGGCCCCGTGACACTCAGGGGTTAATAAACGCCTTGGAGGAAAACATCGGGGGTGTCTTGTAATACGTCAGACCCCCTCACTGGGGGGTGGGACAGGGACTGCTAGGTCCCAGGGGGTGGGAGCCTGTTGGGGGCTAGACTTGGGAGGCCGGGGGAGGGGAGGGAGGGCTCTGACTACTTGTATCATTCAAGGACATACTGGATGCCTGAGACCCCCAAGGCCAGTGCGACCCAGGAATTTGGTCGCTGGCTTCTGGGCTTAGAGGCTGGGAAGGTTGGACTTGGGGTGGGGGGGTGTCCCAGGACTGAGGCTGCCTTTCTTGGGGAGGGGATAGCCAAACTGTTGAGAGCCCAGAGCTCCCCAGAACGGGATAGGGAACCTGGACTCCTGGGCCCTTGTGGGGAGGGGGCGAACCTCAAACTTGACCTTCTGCGGTTGCTGAGGATCTTGGGAGGGAGGGAGGCCCCCTGTGTTCTCTGGGCCCTGAGGATACAGGGCAGGTGGAGGTATTAAGGAACCAGAAGAGTCCCATCTTGAACAGTGGCCTTTCTCAGCCTTCTTGCTCTTGCCCTGATCCCAAGGGGGGTTTCAGTGATTCAGAGGGGAAGGGCTGCAGCTCTGTGTCTCTTCCCCCCTCCCCGACTAGAAAATCTCTCAAACCCAGGCCTGGGAATGAGGGAGGGGAGTGGGAGGGGCCGGGGTCCGTCCCAGTCACCTCTGCTGTCCTGAGCCCTCCACAGCCCCCTCTCTTAAGACACAGGTGGAGCTGCCTCTGGTCCAGCAGTGGTCATGGGGGGCATCATGGGGGGGGCACTCAGGATGCCTGCACTGAGCCACCAGGTGGGGCTTGGGGCGTTCATTTCCCACCAGAATTGACTTTCGCTTATTACGCCAGGGACACAGAGGTGACTCAGGCAGACAGAGCCCTGCCCCCCCCCACCTCCCTGCCAGGGCATGTCACGATGGCTATGTGTGGACTGAGTGAGCAGCAATTACCGTTGTCCCCCCAACTCTGAAGCCCTCCCAAGGCCACCAGGCTCTGGAGCAGGAAGAGTAGAACCCAGACATTCTTCCTCTGGGCAACTGTATCTCCTCCTCTGAGCAATAGGGCTGACAGAGAGTGGAGCCTGTGGGTGAGGCTTGTGCACAAGTGCGGTTTCCTTGTCGCCCCCCTCGGGTCCCCCATGCCTCCTCCCCAAAATGGGAGGGAAGCGCCAGCAGGCAGGGGCGGGGATTCGGACAGTCTGGCGTGGGGTAGGTCCTTGAGCACTGGCGCTGGGCCCCTCCTTGCACATCTGGCCATCACCAACCGTGTGCCAGGCCGTGCCCCTTAGAGCTCCCAGTGTATTGTGGAAATTGGCAAGTAAACAGGTGACATCAGGGAGGGAGAAGGGCTCCAACCGAAAGGCCCAGGGGGCCACAGCTTCTCTCAATTCCTTTTCCTGTTAAGTTGAAGGAGCCACACCCTCTGTCCAGGATGACTCCATTCCCTGTGATGAATGAAGGGTTCTGATCCCGATTCCGTAACACCCACTTTTCTGCGCCTCTTAGCTCCGTCCCGTCCCCTCCCTTCCCTTCTCTCCCTCCTCTCCCCCTCTTCTCTGGCCCCACGGTTTCCTTGCTGGTCCTTCAAAGTAACAGGAGGCTTCCTCCTCAGGGCTTTTGCACTGGCTGTTTCCTCTGCTTGGAATGTTCTCATTTCCTCGTGGCTCACCCCCTTCCACTCCTTCAGATCTTTGCTCAGATGTCACCCCATAGTAAGTCCCCCTTCTGTCACTTCCTTACCACCTTCCCCACTCTGTGTTTTTACCTTCGATCGCTCTCTGCACAGCTAGAACAGATGTTCCATGGGAGTGGGGACCTCTGTATGTTTTGTTCACCACTGGCACCCAACAAAGCCTCAGTAAGGACTAGGGAGAGGAGGTAGGCAGATGGGTGATGACTTAGGGAATAAGGAGCTGTGGCTTCCTCCCGGAGACCCCCTTACACTGTCCCTCTTCTTGCAGAGACCCCCAACACAGCAGGCGCGGGGGCCACGGGTGGCATCATTGGGGGCATCATTGCTGCCATCATTGCTACCGCTGTGGTCGCCACAGGCATCCTCATCTGCCGGCAGCAGCGGAAAGAGCAGAGGCTGCAGGGGGCAGAGGAGGAGGACGAGTGAGTGATGGGCCCCAAGAAGTGGGTGGAGGAGGGGTCCCGGAATCGGGGAGCCCGAGGGGTGGGGGTAGGGGGACTGACCCCAAATAACTGACTTAAGTGGGGTGTAGAGGAGAGTTTATTTCTGTCTCCCGTAAAGCGTGGGTATGATAGCTATGCTCTGTGAAGCCATCAGAGCCCAGGCTCCTGCTACCTTGCTGCTCAACTTTCCCTTCACTCGAATTGCAAGATGGCTCCCCATACTTCTAGCACTGTCTGCATACTTGACAACCAGATACAGCTGTCCTGGCCTCAAAGCCCCCATTCCTGCGGGGGCTGGGGGGGGACAAATAGAGGGCAGTGAGCTGCCCTATAGGGGAACCCGTCACTTGGCCTCACTTCCCATTGGCCAGAACCTGGTCACATGGTGTACCAGCTTCAGGGGAAGCTGGGAAATGTAGTCCTTACTCTGGGTGGCCATGTGCCCCGCTAAAATCTCTTACAGGAGCCTAGATATTGTGGGGGGAACTAGCCACACTTCTCTGTGTAGGGCACTTAATGTGCCAGGCTTGGTGAAATGCATTTTACATGTGTGACCTTGATGAAGTTTCACATCCGTTCACTGATGCAACGAGTATTCAGAAAGTACCTACTCAGGGCCAAGCCCTAGAGGTTAGGAATGCAATGATGAGACAAACATTTTTAAAGTGTTCACACACATAAATGCATCATGGAAACAGAAATTCTCACAGGGAGCTAATGATACCCATTTTATCAAAGAGGAAACAGGTCCAGAGAGCTGAAATCACTTGCTGAAACTCATCCATCAAGTGAGCGTATGGGGGGCAAAATGACTCTGAAGTAACACTACCCAGTGTGTATGTGTGTGTTTGTGTTTGTGTGGGGGGGGGGCAGGGGTAGGGACACTTGTTAAGAATGCAGAATCCTGAGCTTACAGCAAACCTACTGAATCAGAACTTCTACAAGAAGGGCTTGGAATCTGTACTTATAACAAGCTCCCTGAGTCATTCTGATGCACAAGGAAGTTTCTGACCCACTATCTTTAACATCTGGTCAATTTAAACCAACAACTTGCTATCAACCTCCTATGCCCAGCCCAGTGCTGAGAGCTAGTGGTGCCTGAGATGGCCCTGGCCCTGCCCTCCTGGGAGACAGACCCATCCCTAGAGAGTGGCAGAGATGGGCTAGAAAAGCTGAGGGAGCTGTGAGAGGCCAGAGGGGCACTTGATGTAGCCTGGTGGGTCAGGGAGGGCTTCCTGGGGGAGGCGACATCTGAGCTGGGGATTGGAGACATAGTAGACACTCATCATGATGTATGCAGGATGCGCTGGTCTGTGGGTATGTATAACAAAGGAATTTTAACATAGTTTGAAGGCCAGGAAAGCCTTTCATTTATTCATTCTTTTTTTTTTTTTACAAAGATTTATTTATTTATTTGAGAGAGAGAGAGAATGAGCAGGAGGGGCAGAGGGAGAGGGAGAATCCCAAGCAGACTCCACACTAAGCACAGACCCCCACACAGGGCTTGATCCCACGACCCCGAGATCACGACTTGAGCCGAAACCAAGAGTCAGATGCTTAACCGACTGCACCACCCAAGTGCCCCTTGTTCATTTTTTAAACAAATACTTGCTGACTTCCTCATAGTGAGTTCTGAGAACACAGCTGAGGACACAGATCTCATTTTTCCCTCACATTACTCATAGTGGGATACTTATTGAATGATATCAGAAATAATGTTTCAAATACAAACTCAGTAAGTGCCCCGAGAAGGAAGAACAGCTAGATATAACCATATATCAGGAGTCCCTAATCCTCCTGGAGAATCAGGGAGGCTTCCTGGAAGAAGAGAAATTCATGGGATGAATAGGAGTTAGCTGGGCAAGGGGGCCTGGCGGTGGGGGCGCGGCACAGCAGAAAGGGAGATCGGGCAGAGGGAAGAGCATCTGGATAGGAGGGCTTCTCGGGTCTGAGACTCCACTTGACCTACCTCCTACCCAACAGTCTGGAGGGGCCTCCCTCATACAAGCCACCAACCCCCAAGGCGAAGCTGGAGGAGCCTGAGATGGTAAGCACTTCCCCTGGAGCTCAGACTGCCCCCACCTCCACACCTACCTTTCCCCCCTGAGGCCAGGGCTAGGAGGGGGGACTCCTGGGGAGAGGCCAGCTGTGAGAGGGTCCTGACCTGCCCCTCTTCCTTCCCTTCAGCCCTCCCAGCTCTTCACTCTTGGAGCCTCAGAGCACAGCCCACTCAAGACCCCCTACTTTGATGCTGGCGTCTCGTGTGCTGAGCAGGTGGGAACGTGGGGGAGGGCAGGGGTGGGTTTAGGGTTTGGGTTTAAGGGCCAGGGATCAGCTCCTGACATAAAAGGTCCAACACTAAAGGTCACAACTCAAGGCCAGTGCTGTATCTCTAGTCCGAGCTCAGAGCACCAAGATGTGTTTAGGATTCAGTGGGGGAGATTATGGTTGAAAAAGTCCAAAAGGACATGAGGTTAAAGTCACTTAGTGAAGATTGGTTGAACATCTACATCTGCCAGATACCGTGCCCAGAGATGAGACAAAACTGATTGTTATTCCCCTCCGTGATCTACTGAATGTCAGGGGTCAGATATTAAAGTTGAGACAAATCAAGGTTCAAGGAGCTCTTTAGGGCTTAGGGCTTAAGGTTAAGTAGTTGAGGTCAAGATTGAAGTCAAAGGTTCATGGAGAAAGGCTTGTGGTCAGGGATCAAAAGACAAAGGAGAGGCCCAGGACTGACAGGCTCTGGGCTTTGAGCTGGAGACAAGCCATATCATTGCTCTAGTGCAATTTCCACCCAGGCCAACAAGGGATGAGGTCGGGTCTGGTTTGGCATAAGGAGATGGTCAGGATTTGGGGGTGAAGGGGCAGATTGGGATTCTGTATAATGCACAGGAGATGACCTTGGGCTCTTTTTCCCTCCCTGCCCCCAGGATATGCCTCGATATCATGAGCTGCCCACCTTGGAAGAGCGCTCGGGGCCCCTGCTCCTGGGGGCCACGGGCCTGGGGTCCCCCATCCTGGTGCCTCCAGGGCCACCTGTTGTGGAGGGGGTTTCCCTGGACTTAGAGGATGAGGAAGAGGAGGAGGAAGACTATCTAGATAAGATAAACCCCATCTATGATGCCCTGTCCTACTCCAGCCCCTCTGATTCCTACCAGAGCAAAGGCTTTGTCATGTCCCGAGCCATGTATGTGTGAGCTGCCATGGCCCTGGCCTCTCACCTCTCACTTTTTGATCCCTCCACTCTCTGCCCGGGATCTAGTGCCCCCTGACCTCAGGCCAGGCCACGGTCAGTTAACACACAAAAATGCATCTCGTCTGTGACTTCTGCCTTGGTGGCTCCACTATGATCTCTAATCCATGATCTCTGACCCAGAGAAACCGGCCATGACAACAGAAACCTGGTAACCTTATCTCACATGGGGGCGGGGGAGTATGTTCCTGCACAACCTCTGACCCAAGGACTCCTAAGACTGTGACCTTAGATCATACCTCTCATGTCCCATCATCTCCGGACTCCCCCAAAATCCCAGAGAAGATCCCAGACCTCCGAGTTGTCCTCAGGCAGTAAAATCCCAATAGTTCTTCTGGGGTAGGTGTTGGGGGTACCCTGCTGCTCAGACCTGAGCCCTCCAGGCAGCAGAGCCCCACTCACCCCTCCCCACCCTGTCTGTTCCCCAAAGACAAGAGGAAAGGGATTCCCCAGCCCAAGGCTTCCCCATCTCCTCCCTCCTGCAGGCAGGAGTCTCAGGGTCCAGACCCTTCCCTGAGCCCCCACTACCCCAATTCCTGTCTACAGGGAATTAAGCCCCAGCCCAGGACTAGATGGGGTAAGCCTCATGCGGTGTGCCTTTCCGGCCCCAGCCTTGGAAGAATTTGCTGTTACTTTGAAGCTACTGAGTCCTTACTCCTGCCCAGTGGGATGGGACCCAAACATCTCCCAGCAGGGGGTGGGGGGGAGGTTGGAGGCTGGGGATATAATACTGTTTTTGTAATACAGCATTTCCTACAAAATCTGAGTTTATACTTTGACCGGATGTCAACTTGTGTTTTCTGTGGGATGCGAAGGAGATGGGGGTGGGACATGATGGGAAACAAATAGGGCGCGTAGAGCTGAAGGAAATCAGTAGGCTAGAAGTCAAGATGGGTTACAGGCAAAAAAAAAAGGGGGGGGCAAAGATATAAAAAAATTAAGTGAGGGGATAATGAGCAAAATGCGTAAACAAAAAACATAATGATGGATAATGGAAGGAGAGGGGGAGGAGCCCAGCGCATGGTGGTTAATGACAAGGAACGGCAGTCTAATGGGTGACGGATGGAAGTAAACGGAACAAAGATAGAAATGGCAGTAATTCAGTTTGAGGGGCTCAGGTTTAAAGGATAAATGGCAAGAATAGGCCAAAGGCAAAATTACGAATAACGTAATTGCTCAGGGCATTGTGGGTAATAGAACCGAATGAATGAGCCAAAGGCAGAGGGATAATAGAGAAACAGGGCCGGCAGGCATGATGGCTAATGGACCCAAAACATGATGGTTAATTAAAGAAGCGTTAGAAGGATGACGGACGTGAACAGGCAGAAATGAGCTAAGGGTAGTTCAGGAAAGGAAGATGAAATGAATGGGGCAGAGGCATGCTGGGTAATGGGAGCAGAATGAATGGGCCAAAGATAGAAGCCGCAGTGACGCAAGTGGGGGCGGGGAACAGAAGGCATGATGGGTAACAAAAGGGGTGGGTCTACGGCAACTGTCGCGTTAAAATAGCTAAGGAGCATTGTGGGTAAAAAGAAGCCTGACAGGGTTCGGATAACCGGTTAGAATTCTCCCGAGGTACTGTGGGAAGGGCCAGCACTTCCGGTTTTCGGTCGCCGGCTCTGGACTAGGGGACTGCCCCTCTGCCGCGGTGCCTGGTGGGACGAGAGGCCTGACCTTGCTGCCTAGGAGCCTCTGCTGCGCAACCCACCTTTACCCGTGTCCCTCGACCCTGGCACATTAGCCAATGAACGTACCAGACCGATTGCGTCACCAGGATCGGTCTCCTGTACGCGCCAGAGCCAATCAGAATGCTTCAAGGCCAAGGCTGACCAATTACAGTGGCAATTTCGCCGCGGGGCGGAGTCGAAAGAGGGGGCGCCCTCTGGAGAGGGGCGGAGGCGACGAGTCAGTGGGCGTTTCAAAGTGCGCAGCGCAGACCAATGGCGGGCGAACAACGGAACCCGCGGCGTTGAGGGCCAATAGATGCGGTCTCCGCGGGCCAATGGAAAAGGCGGGGAGGTGTGTCTCGACCTTCCTGTGAGTGGGAACCAATAGAAAAGGACGTCCCAAAGAGGTGGGTGGGACTCCCAGCCATGACTCCAATTGCAAGGCCAGGCCTTTAAGCTAGCGGGCGGATCCCAGGGCACGCCGAACCAATGGGCTCGGCGGGGCGGGGCGGGGCGACGGTGGTGGCGGCGGCGGCAGCGGGTTCGGTTGCGCGTGGCGCACGGGGTGGGAGCGGAGCCCAGGCCGGGTGCGGGCGCTGCCGCCAGTGAGAACCGGGGCCCGGAGCAGAGTGGGGTTTGGCTGGGACTGGACCCGGAGCGCGCGGGCCCTGACCTTCGCCCTCTGACCTTTCCCCTTGCAGGCGACCATGGGGAACGTCTTGGCTGCTAGCTCGCCGCCCGCAGGGCCGCCGCCACCTCCCGCGCCCGCCCTCGTGGGACTGCCGCCGCCTCCGCCCTCTCCTCCTGGCTTCACGCTGCCGCCGCTCGGGGGCGGTTTGGGCGCTGGGGCTGGCGCGGGTCGAGGTTCGGAACGGACCCCCGGTGCTGCGGCAGGTAGCGCCGCAGGGACCGCGGACGATGGGGCCTGCGGCTGCCTGCCCAACCCCGGCACGTTCGAGGAGTGCCACCGGAAATGCAAGGGTGAGGGGCGACGGACCCGGCAGGGGTGTGAGGGCCCGCATCTCGGGGGGAGGGGGAGCACTCAGAGGACCTTGGGAATTGGCACGGACCATTGGAAACATTTAACAGAGCGTTAGGAGTTGACGTTGGGATCGAATGGTGGAACGTTGGACTTGGGGCATAGAACGATGGGATCAAATGGTGGAACCTCAGGATGGAATGGCAGAGCGGTAGAGGAAAGCCTTAGGGACCTCAGGGAGCCCCGGGGATCAGCCAAGCCAGCCTTCTTATGTGGTCGGGAAGGAAACTGAGGCCCAAGGTCACAGTGTCAGCCAGGGTCCAGTGGGGGTGGAACCCAAGGCTTCTGGATCTTGGCTTGGAACAGTTAAGATAGTAAGAGTGGTGGTGACTTATTGAGCACTGTTCTGGCATTCACTATATGTTAATTCACTAAATCCTTGCAATGTCTCCACGTGGTGAGCTTACAGATGACATCTTACAGGTGACAAGTTTGACATAGTTAAAGTGACTTGCCTTGGGTCACATGGGTAGTAAGCGGTGGCACTGGGATTTGGGTGCAGGCAAAGAAGGGCCCTGGTCCTGGCCCCGTGTATTAGGTTAGACGGTCTCTTTATTGGTTGAGGTGCTTTGTGTGATGTTTTGCTTGTGGGTCCTTGGAAGAGGGAGAGCTGGCATGGTAGGGAAGGAAGGGATGAGAGTCCTCGTGTTGGCGTAGGGGTGTGTGTATGTGTGTGGAGAGTGACAGCGCTTCTCTTCTTCAGAGCTATTTCCCATTCAGATGGAAGGTGTCAAGCTCACAGTCAACAAAGGGTTGAGTAACCATTTCCAGGTGAGGCTTCCTGGTGCCCTTACTCTCCAGAGGTCATCCCAACCATCTCCCTGCGCCTACGCATACAACCCCCTCACTCCCCCTAAAGGGCTAGGCTCCTGGGCACCTGAAAAGACTCAGAGACACAATGCCAGTCTGACTGCTCATTGGGTCCAGTGGAAGTGTTTAGGGACCCAGAACCCGGGGATGCCCCTCCACCTTTCACATCCAGGCAGGAGTGAAGTACCGGGTATGTAGCCTCGTCTCCAGCTTATCTTTTCTCTGAGTGTCTAATCTAGTCAGGCTCAACCTCCCAGTCTTCATCCCTTGCCCTACCCAGAGCTGCCTGTCTTTTTCTCCACGGTGGGGAAGCCAGGTTGGCAAGTACCCGCATCCCAGGCTTTTAGGGAGCTTTGCTGGGGGCAGGGTCTGTTGCGGGTGGCCCACAGACTCATCCCCACAGCCTTCCCTCCTCCCAGGTAAACCACACAGTAGCCCTCAGCACAATTGGGGAGTCCAACTACCACTTCGGGGTCACGTACGTGGGAACAAAGCAGCTGAGTCCCACAGAGGTGAGGTTCCTTTTGTCTTTTGTTCATTGTATCTTTCTTCTAACCAATATGTAGCCAAGCACCAGGCAGAGAAGGCTCTGTTAATATTAGGAGGGCTGAGCTGCTGAGGGTGCTGGGAGGTGGGGACTGTCTCTCCGAGGTGCTTTGGAACATGGTCACTCCTTCATCCTGAAGCCCTGCTCCCTGCCCAGCCCTGTGCTGGGTCAGGGCCGGGGTCACCAGACAGTGATGACCCAGAGAAAGCAGGGCTTTTGAATGCCAAACAGGGCATTTGGACTTTCCCTAGGGGGCAGTGAAGAGCCACAGAAAGATTTGGACGGGGAAAGACATGGTCAGATTGACACTCTAGGACCCTCCCTCGGGCTGCCGTGCAGAGGTTGCGTTAAGGGAATGGGGGTGAAACTGGAGGCCTGGGCAGAACACAGGTGGAGCTGAGGGACTGAATTACGTCTCTGCTTATACCAACTATTGCCATTCAGGACATTCCTTTATTCCACAAACCTTCATTGTACTGCATTCTGTGCCCAGCCCTGTGCTGGGCAGTGTTGGGGACAGAGCAGTGACTGAAACGGCCCTGGGGTTCACAGTCTAGTAGAGAAAGGGAACGGACCTGTCCCCAGAGAGTGACTGTCCAGGGTAGGCAGGACTGAAATGCGGGGGGGCGGGGGGAGGAGGAGCCCAGAGGGGCACCTGACTCAGCCTAGGTGGTCAGGGAGGGCTTCCTGGAGGAGGGAACCTCAGTCCGAGGTTTTCTGATGCTAGGCTTCTCACCTAGGCTCACCACGCTTGTATTTCTATAATGCTAAACCTCTGACCTCTGACCTTGCCCTCTGCGCCACAGGCATTCCCCGTGCTGGTGGGTGACATGGACAACAGTGGCAGCCTTAATGCTCAGGTCATTCACCAGCTGGGCCCTGGCCTCCGGTCCAAGATGGCCATCCAGGTGAGTAGGAGCCACGTCAGCTGCTCCCCGAGCCACCCTGAGCACCCGGCTGCCCTCTACACTGTCCCTCCCCCCTACAGACCCAGCAGTCCAAGTTCGTGAACTGGCAGGTGGACGGGGAGTACCGGGGTTCTGACTTCACAGCAGCCGTCACCCTGGGGAACCCAGACGTCCTGGTGGGTTCAGGTAAGAGCCACGGGCCTGGAGGGCAGTCCAATCTCAGTTGCAGCTTTCCCGGCAATCCATTCCCTTCTCCGGACCTCCTTTTCTACCATCTAGAAATGGTCGGGGGCAGGAGTGACTTTGGAAACACCCACAACATAGCATGGGGTGTAGGCAAGTAGGTTCCAACCCCCTGTTCTGTCCCTGGCTTCACTGCAGCTGTGGGCAAGTTCCCTCACCCCCGTGGGCCTCAGTTTCCTCGTCTGTAACATTGGGCTCCCTCACGGGGCTGCTGAAGAGGTCATTTACCTTGTTTTGTGTGAGAAACTTCAAGAGGTCTGGGGCCCGTAACAGGTCCCAGGGGAATGTGGGCTGCTTCTATTACTTGTGGGGCTCTGGGGTGATTTCGGTGCAGAGATCCCAGGGTGGGTGGGTCCACGTGCAGTTCGGGCAGGTAGTCTGAGTCTGAGACAGAAGCTGACCAGGAAAGTTCCTGTTTGGGTTGGTGTAGACAGGGGCTGCCTGACTTGTGCCTGTACGTCTAGACTCTTCTTGGTTCCCCTTTTTTTTTTTTTTTTTGCTCTGTCTCTGGGTGTTTCTTTGATCACTTTACATTCAGCGTGAGTGTTGCTTGGGCGTGTACCGTGTACATTCCAGTCACCAAGGATAAGGTGCGGCAAACAAGGAGAATTCACTTTGTCCTCTGGGAGCTTCCATTCCAGAGGACCTGGACACAAGCACTTAAAAAAAAAAGTCAGGTGACGGGGGGCTGGGAAAGATTAGGTCCTTGGGAGGGGTGTGGGGTGGTGTCCTCAGAGAAAGCCTCCTTAGATAGGTAATATTTGATTAAAGATCAAGGATTTGAGGGAAGGTGCCAAGCGGATTTGTGGGGAAAGAGCTCTTCGGCTGAGGCAACAGCAAGCGCAAAGGCCCTGAGGCAGGACACTTTACTGGAACGCCAGGAGGGGGGTGGCTGTAATGGGTAGGGAAAGAGGGAGAGTTGGAAGTCACAGGGGTAAAGGGCCCAAATCAGCTGAGGCTTTGTAGGACTTCAACCTTCACTCTGAATGAGTCAGGGGCCTCACCAAGGGTTGCGAGCCTGAGAGGGACAGGAGCTGATTTAGCTTCTAACAGGACCCGCCGTGCTGCCCAGCAGAGAGCAGACTATGAGGAGTGAGGAGTGGTCAGGCCCGATGTACTTTGAAAGTGGAGCGCACTGGGTTAGCCGGTGGATTGGGTGTGGGAGGCGAGCAGGAGGAGCGGGATGACTCCGTAGGTTTGGGCTTGAACGACCGGAAGGATGGGAGTGTGGGTTCCTGCTGCCATTTGCTCAGTCTTTTTTTTTTTTTTTTAAAGATTTTATTTATTTATTTGAGAGAGAGAGAATGAGAGAGAGCGAGTACATGAGAGGGGGAGGGTCAGAGGGAGAAGCAGACTCCCTGCTGAGCATGGAGCCCGATGCGGGACTCGATCCAGGGACTCCCGGATCATGACCTGAGCCGAAGGCAGTCGCTTAACCGAGCCACCCAGGCGCCCCGCCATTTGCTCAGTCTTGGAGAGCCGGCTCTTGGGCATTGAGTGGCTCTGAAGGCAGGAAGCCTGAATCCTGGGGAGAGCTCTCAGTTCTGCCTGCTGGAGGCTAGGGAGCCTCCTCGGAGGAGGTATGGCCTCTGAGCTCCCCAAGGAAGAGAAGGGGCTCCCCGGGCAGGGAGGAGGGGGGCAGCTGAAATGGGAGAGGAGAGAGGGAGGGGCCTCCTAGGCGAGGCTGCACCCACGGGTCCCGCGGAGGCATGAGGAACCTCAGGAAGAAACATGTCATGTTCCTTGCAGACCCGACGTCATTGCCCCCCTCTGCTCATGTGCTCCCTGCAGTTGGGCCACATGAGCTTTTCTGAGACTTTCTGGAACGGCTGCATTCTTTCTATCCCATGACCTTTTCACGTGCTGTCCCTACTGCTTGGAGCTCTTCTCTCCGGTCTTGACGTGGCTGAACGAGTAGTTCCAGGGCACAGCTTGCCCTCACAGGAAGACCTTCTGTGAGGAAAGCCGTGTGCGCTTAGCGCCACATCGTGCCCGGGGCTTTGCAGTGCTTCCCCCGGGGATCTCCTACCTCCCACGCTGGGGTGGCAGCCCTTCCGGGGCAGGAACTTGCTTGTCTCACTTGCCACTGTGTGCCGAGCGCCTGGAACCGTGCCGGGAACAGAGTAGGCGCTGAGAAAACCCCGGACAAGGGAGCGAGTGATGGTAGGGGCATGTCCCGTGTGGTGCTTCTTGCCCTCAGTCAGGCCCTAGGCGTGTGATGCGTGTCCTTTCCTTCAGCCATTCTAGGCACTGGGAATAGAGCAGTGAGGAGAATGGCTTGTTGGATTCTCTCAACAGCCCCGGGAGGTAGGTGCTGCCATTATCCTCCTCTTGCCGAGACCCAGAGAGGGGAAGCGCCTCCCAAGGATGCACAGCGGGTCAGACTCCGGAATCCACGCTCTTCTCGATGGCACCCGGGCACGGCTCCCCGCACGCACGCACTCGCTGGCCGCTTCTGTGCTTCCCGTGCTTCCCGGCACTGGCCTCCGGGTCCCTCTTACCTGGTGTCCGAGGCCGCCGGGGGCACCCTTCGTCTCTTCGTTCTTTCCGTTCCCTCGAATGACGCTGGTGATAGCATCTGTCACGAGGGCACAAAAACGGCATCCCCCTCTGGGTGACGGATCCGGAGTGGGAGTCCGTCTTGGGCTCCCAGTGGGAGACCAGGCGCGGGGTTGGGGGTCTCACTGTGTTGGAGCGCCGTGTCCTGCAGTGGGCAGGGGGTGTCTCTGGCTTTCCGGCCCCCATCTCACAGGTGAGGAAAAGGAGGCCCAGGGGTGGAATCGGGCGCCCGGGTTCACACAGCCGGGAAACCGAGAAGCTGGAATGTGAATCATGGCCCAACTCAAGGGCCTGTATTCCTTCTGGGTTCCCTCCTCGTGGCCTCGGCCTCATCTCAGGAGCCTCCTGCGAACCTAGCATGTGCCCAGCCCTTGGCAGGGTGGTGCCAGGACCCAGCAGTGATTGAGACAGCTCCTTCCTCCCCTCACGGGGTGCCCAGCCCAGTGGGGGCCGGGGCATACGATTTTATTTTATTTTTTGCTTCAGTTTTATTTATTTTTTGAAAGAGAGAATTAAGGGGAGGAGCAGAGGGAGAGGGAGAAGCAGACTCCCCGCTGAACAGGGAGCCTGACACGGGGCTCAATCCCAGGACCCTGAGATCATGACTGGATTCAAAATCAGGAGTTGGACACTTAACTGATTGAGCCAACCGGGTGCCACATAAGTCACGTTTCTTTTATTTATTTATTTATTTTTAAGATTGATTTATTTGAGAAACAGCACGCGCAGGGGGGAGGGGCAGAGGGAGAAGCAGACTCCCCGCTGAGCAGGGAGCCCAACGTGGGGCTCGATCCCAGGACCCTGGGATCGTGACCTGAGCCGAAGGCAGACGCTTAACCATCTGAGCCACCCAGGCGCCCCGGGACATTGGCTTTTAAACAAACAATCACACAGTGACTTCAGTACTATTGTGAAAAATCCTACTCGGGAAGAGTCCAGGTTGCTTAGTGAGAGCTTATAACTACGGCCCCCCTCCCCCCACACACACCCCCATCTCACCTAAAGCGGGGGGGACAGCGTCTCTTAAGATGGTGGTGTTCAGTTGAAGGGGGGTAGGAGGGCAGTGCTCCTAAGGCCCATGGAGCGCGGGGCATGGAGAGCAGAAAGACATCCTGTCTGGCTGGGTCCCAGAACTACGCCCCCCTTTGGGTGCTGCCCTTACCTGAGCATCCGCCCTGGGGTGTCTGCCGTTCCTGCCCCGGCTGATTTCCCCAAGGACTCCTGGTGTGGGTCCCAGGCGAGCAGGCCAGGGGGAGGTGGCCCAAACCGCCCTGCTGCCCCGTCTCCGCCTCCCGCTCCCTGCCCAACAGGTTTGGGAAGTGGATCTGGAGGTGTGACTTTGCTGGGTTGCCTGGCTTTGCCGGTTGCCGGAGGCCACCTCCCCGCTCACAGACCTCACTCGCTTTCTTTCCTTCTTGCGGGGTTTCGGGATCACGAGGTTTTTCCCGGCCACCCCGCATGCTGCAGAATGGCCCCCGCTTGAGAACCCACAGGGGAGCCCACGGGCCTTGGGGGGCGAGGGGGGCGCCAGCTGTGGACACATGCAGGAGGGTCTGCCTGGGTTCAGGAGATCTATGAGGAGCTGCGAGCAGGGCAGCCCTCCGGGGGAAGAGGCCCAGGAAACGGGCTTGGGGTGCGGGGAGAACGGGCCGAGCTGTGGAAACGAGGGACAGGCAGTGTAGAGCACGTTCTGACCCCAGTTCTCAGACTTCCAGTGGCCCTTCTCTGCACAGACTGCAGGGCAGGGGGAAGGTGAAAGCAGAGCAGGGTGACTGCCCTGGTCCCATGGTGACCGTGGCTGCAATCGGGGCGTGCTAGAGAGAAGTCGCCAAATTCAGGAAACAGGTGCGAATGTGTAGTCGGCCAGACTCAGCAGGGGAGAGGGCACACCGGGCAGGAGGGACAGTGCATGCACAGGGAAGAGAGGGCTGCTTGTGCTCATCCTGCCTAGAGGGACACGGCTGTGTCCTGGAAAGAGGAAGGGGCTCGATTTTGAAACTGGGGCCCAGCCATGTAGGACACTGCAGCTGGGTCTCCTGGGCACTGGGGAGCCATGGCAAGTTCTGAGCAGGAGAACGGGGTTAGGTGTGTGCGTGAACAGGATCCCTCTGTGCTGCAGGTGAAATTGGAGAGGGCGAGGCAGGCCAGGAGGTGGGAGGGATGTTTGGGGGTCCCCCACCCGAAGTCCCAGTGGGTGCCAGAGCTGAGAGGCCAGAGACTCTGAGTTGAAGTCCCAGTCTCTCTCTGAGCACAGACAGTTACTCTTCCCTCAGGGGCCACATTTCCCCCGCATCGAGTGAGGGGACAAGCCTGGCCCGGGGTGTACGACTGCTGGCTGCAGGCGGTGACCCAAGTCTCCTGCTCACGCGGTGAAGGAATGCACACCGAGGCTCACAGAAGCCCAGAAGGGTTAGGTCAGCCAGCCCCTGACCATGACACAGCACCGGAGCCGGGACCCTGAACCCTCGGCCTCCCCGGCCCCACTGGTAGCCCCCATCTGGAGTGGGAGAGGCCTCTGACCCTGCACGCTCATTCCTGCTCCGTCCTGTCCTGTCCCAGCGTCCTGGCTCTCCCCGCGCCCCTCACACATGTGCTCTCAGCTCTCCCCAGGTCCCTCTGCGTCCCTGCCCTGCCTTCCCCTTTGCTCCATCCTCCTCTTCCTCACTGGCTCGTGACCTCAGCCCGACCGTGTCCTCTTAGTCTCCCCTGGGAATCTTCGGCCCTCTCTTCCTCCCTCTCTGATTCTGTTTCCACTTCTCTACGTTAAGTGTCTTGTTTTCTCCTTCACTGTCACTCCCTCTGCGTCTCCGACTCTCTTCCTCCCCGGTTCTCCCGTAGATCACGTTCGTGGTATCTACTCTAGGCTCCAAAGACAGGCATGAATGCGTCAGTCCCTGGGCTCCAGGAATCCAGCCCAGCAGGCGCACAGTCGCCTGTTAGCCACGCCCAGGGGCCTCGGGGCCAACCCCACTGCCAAGGGGCAGGGAGGGCAAGCTGTAGGCCTTGGCGTGGCCAGTCCTAGCGATCACTGAGGCCCGGCCACTGCACTACACCTCATTCGCTCCTTGAGACTTTAGGGCCGCCTCAAGAGGTAGTCTTGCTCACAGAGAAGTGACCCCAGTGGCCCGCTGTTACTCCACGAGTGGTGTAACGATTTGAACCCAGAGGCGGAAGGGTTCAGAACCCAGGCCAGAGAGGTGGAGAAGCCCAGATTCTGCCCCTGACATAATCTTGTCACTGCGGGTCAGTGAATCACTCCCTTAGCCTCCGTGGACTCCCAAGTGGTGGCAAATGAATGCCCGCCCCACGGGGCCTGGGAGGCCTGAGGGGTGGGCCCTGAGCCTCCAGCAGGGGCACGCCTGGAAGGCTGCCTGGAGCAGGAGGTGGGCCCAGCAGAAACAGACCCGCACCAAGCCAAGGTGACACCCCCCCCAAATCTGGCCCACAGGAATCCTCGTGGCCCACTACCTCCAGAGCATCACGCCGTGTCTGGCCCTGGGTGGGGAGCTTGTCTACCACCGGCGGCCTGGGGAGGAAGGCACTGTCATGTCTCTAGCTGGGAAGTACACATGTGAGCCCGGGGCCTGGGGGTAGGGTAGGGGGCGGGGTCCAGGGTCCTGGCCCCCTTGGTAATCTGCACCCCACCCCCACCGCGCTCTCTTACAGTGAACAACTGGTTGGCGACAGTAACGTTGGGCCAGGCGGGCATGCATGCCACCTACTATCACAAAGCCAGCGACCAGGTGACCTGGGCCGGGGACCCGCTGCGAGGGCGGGCTTTGCGGGCCTGGGGGACCAGGGTCTGGTGTGCCTGGGAGCCTGGCCTGGGAAGCTGACCCTTGCGCGTCGCCCCGGCCCCTCCAGCTGCAGGTGGGTGTGGAGTTCGAGGCCAGCACGAGGATGCAGGACACCAGCGTCTCCTTCGGGTACCAGCTGGACCTGCCCAAGGCCAACCTCCTCTTCAAAGGTACAGGCCTGTTTCCCTGCTTGGAAACAAGTAGGCATCAGGTGACTCGGCCCTGAGTGGGTGTGTAGGCCAAAGCAGACGGTGGAGGTTGGGGGTGTGACAGACCCATCCCTAGAGAGTGAAGACCTGGAGTGGTCAGGATGGGGGGGGTTGCGGAATTGGTGTGGCCAAGGGCTTCCAGAGGGGAGGGGTCATCAAGCAGGGGTGGGGGAGGGAGAGGACAACTAAGCCAGTTGCTCCGAGGACTGGAGAACTTGGGGTTTGGGAAGAGGTTTCCAGGTGTGGTCAGAGGTCTAGAAGCTGGCAGTCTGGCTGGTGGCTATCTGAGGTGGCCTGGAGTGTGACTCCATGGGGACAGGGTCGGAAGTTGGCTCGCGACACAGCTGTTTCCCTGCAGGCTCCGTGGACAGCAACTGGATCGTGGGCGCCACACTGGAGAAGAAGCTCCCACCTCTGCCCCTGACATTGGCCCTTGGGGCCTTCCTGAATCACCGAAAGAACAAGTTCCAGTGCGGCTTTGGCCTCACCATTGGCTGAGCCCCTCCTGGCCCCTGCCTTCCACCCTTCCTCCTCCAGATCCCCCCTCCCCCTCCCCCTGCCACGGAGGGGAGACCTGAGCCCTCCTCCCCCTCCCTTCCCTCCCTCCTTGGGGGTCAGGGGGGCAGTGGAAAGGAGGGGACCCATCACCCGAGCAGCTGAGGGGGGGATTCTGGAACCACGGGCGCTTCAGGATTCAGAGCACTAGGGGCAGGGTGCCTAGTGGGCCTGGAGTCCCGGGAGGGATTCCAGAATCGAGGGGCACGCCAGATTCTGAGCACCAGGGGCAGAGGCGGCCAGACAACCTCAGGGAGGTGTTGGGGTATCCGAGTCCCCCCAAAGGGCCCTGGGCCCGGCCCTGAGGGGGCAGGAAGAAGAGGAGCTTCCCCATCCCCAGTCAGTCTGCCCCCGCCCACTTTCCCACCCATCCCTCAGTATAAATCATGTTTATAAGTTATGGAAGAACCAGGACATTTTACAGAAAAAAAAAAAAAAAACCAACAAAAAATATACGTGAACAAAAGTGAACTGGGCAGTGTCTCTTGGTCCGTGTGTCGCCCCTTTTGCCCAGTGCATCCAGACGGACCTCACGGGGGCCAGCAGGGGGCGCTGCAGGGCGGAGCCGGGAAGGCTGACCTACTGCCCGGGAGTCCGGCCTGGCCTGAGATCACACATCCTCCCTGCGACTTGTGTGACTTCTGCTGGGACATCACAGGCCCTCCCTCACCAGCAGGGCTGGGTCTTTCGGTCACACCCCAGCTTGGCCTGACCCGGCCTGAGAGGCTGCCAGAAGATTCCCCCTGCTGACTGCAGCAGCAGGGGTGATGTGTCTGTGCAGGGATTGGGGCACAAGCTGGGACTTCAGGTTACGAAAGGGGCAGGGGACATCTTAGGACTTCGGGACAGGAAGGCCAGAGCCTTCAGAAGGCTCGCAGGGATTCCAGCACCTGGAAAGACTTCAGAGTCAACTCTGCCTGAGTGGGCAAAGGGCTTCTGGACTTCTGGGCCTCAGGGGAGGGGCTGGAGGCCGACTCTGGTCTGGCCACAGATGGCTCCTTGGCTCACATAGGCGGGGAGGAGGTCGAGGTGTGGGTTTTGCCCACCTGGGGTTCCAGTACCCTCCCAACACCCCTGACCTCTCCAGACAGGAACTGAAACCTTGTCTGGCGGGAACACATAGTTTGGGGAGGGAGGCCATTGAGCAGAGAGGACCCCTCATTACCTGGAGAAGCCACCCCACTCCTTCCTTACCAGCGCCTTCGGACGCCAAAGTCAAGAGGTCTGGACCTGGCTAGCCCTGGGGTCGCCTTCCTGGGAGGAGGCCCAGCCCTCCTTTCCCGTGTGGCCTCCCCCACCTCAGCGGAACCTGGGCTTCTCTGTGGGACAGCGGGGACTCGCGAGCCGGCTGCTGGGAAGGTGCTGGTGCTCGCTGGGGCCAATCCGAGCAGGTCGTGCCAGGGACGGCGCTCGGGACTTCGTACACGACAGCAGCTTGCATCACCAAACGGTGGTGTAAGTGCGACCGTTTTCCTGGTCCTGTGGACCAAGAAGTAAGCGTGTTCAGATAGGCTAGATAATTTGTCCAAGGTCATGGAGCTGGCAGGAGCCCCCATTTAGACGCAGACCCTTTCGTTCCCGAGTCCGCAGTCCTAACCAGGTCCAGGACTGCTTCAAGCCCCGTGAAGGCTGGGACTTAAACAATGTTCCTGTTAGGGAGAAGGGCTGGATCTTCATCTGCAAACAGGGAGGGGGGCTCAGAGAGCTGCCCGCCCGTGCCCAAGGTCACAGCCAAAGAGGGAGCGAGGACTAAAACCCAGGTTTACACAGTCCGCACCCCTCCCACCCAGTCTCTGTCTTGGCCTCCGGTGCCCTTCTCCCTAAGTCTCAGGAGTCTGGGCCCCCAGCCACCTCCCCTCAGAACCCAGGAATCCAAGCCTCCAGCCCTCTCTTCTCCTCTGACCCAGGATTCCGGCCCCCAGTCCCCTCCCCAAACTTCATTCATTCATCCACAGGAAAAGAGAAAGGCGGGGAATGGGCGCTGGGGAGCAGTGGCAGCTCCTTCCCCTGGCGTGCCTAGCCCCCCAGAACAGAGGAAGGTGCCTGAGTTACTGGGTAAAAATGTCACCTCCCTTCGTGGGGGCCGCGGGGGGGCATCACAGGGCCTCCAACCCCCACCTCCTTCCCCCTGCCTGCTGTGTGAAGGGGAAGGGGACAGCCCACCTCGTGACTGGGGGCTGGCCCAGCTCGCCGCGGCCCAGCAGGAGTGGGCGGGGCAGGGGGAACATTATAATTGGACGAGTCTGGGATCCCTGAGTCCTACTCAGCCCAAGCGGAGACCGAGGAGGAGGTTCCCCAGGAGCCGGTGAGAAACAGAGTTGAGGGCACAGAAGACCAGCTCCGGGCTTCTGTGAGGGACGGGCTGGGGCGAGGTGACTGTCATACGCCAGGGTCAGGACAGAAGCAGGAGCTGGGGATGAGGACGGAAGCCGGGGTCGGACCTAGGGGAGGAGCGGGCCGCAGGGGCATCCCGTCTTGGCTGGAAGGAAGGTGGGATGGGGGGAGCAGCTGGACCTGTGGGAAGAACCAGATGAGCCCCTATCAAGAGCCCACGAATGGTCACTGTTATTTATTGAACACCTCCTGGGTGCCCCCTCGGATCTCCATTAGTTTGGAGGCGCAGGGGTGGCGGCCAGGTGGCTAGAGCGCTCCTCTTTCGGGGAGGGCTTTTAAATGAGAATTAAGTTAGCGAATAGGTGGAAGATGACGTTTAGATGTGAAGCTGGGGCTTAGAACGTGAAGGGAGAACGGGGAATGTGAGGTTGGAATTTATAAGCCACAGTTGGGGCTCGCATGGAACTCGGGGCAGGGGAAGTGGAATTTGAACCCTCGAAGAGGGGGATGGAATTTGGGCGGCGGAGGCCGACCCGGTGATGGGGAGATAGGAGGAGACAATGAAGGAGTTAGATAAACAATGGAGGCACCGCTTGGTGAAATGTTTGTGATTGGATTCGGCTGATGCAGATGATGGGGCGCGGGCAAGACTTGGAAGGCCCGGAACGGGTGGGGCGGGGCTGGGGGTGGGAGGAGTCCCCACTGGGGGCTGATTGACATTTCTCACTCAACCTGACCGATCGCAGGTCGCAAGATGAAGGTTCTGTGGGCTGCGCTGGTGGTCGCGCTCCTGGCAGGTATGAGGGCGGGGCTTGCTCAGGTTCCCTGTCCCTTCCCCTCCCGTCCTCACCTGGCCTCCCCTGCCCCCCTTTCATCCCTGGGTCCCTCCTTCTGCTGGTCTGTCTCCCCTTTGAGGGGGGTGCCCAGGTGTGAGGCCTCACATCCACGGGCTCTGAGCGGCTGTTTTAGTCTCTCTGGGCCTCAGTTTCCCCACCCTTAAAACGAGAGTTGGAACAGTTCCTAATGCATAGTTGTCAGGCAGGCAGACAGCACTAGATTAGTGTCCGCTGTGACTAGTTCTGTTCACCACCACAGCGTGGCCCTGCATGGAACAGACACAGACACTCAGTATATGCCTGTCAGGTGACACCCCCCACCCCCCACCCCCCGGCCAGTGCTCTAAAGAAGCGCAAGAGCATTTACGGAGCACCTGCTGCGTACCAGGTACTGTGTGCCTGGTGGGGTGACTGCCGTGAACTTGCTCTGTGCAGGATGCTGGGCCGATGTGGAGCCGGAGTCGCCGCTCCCGGGGCAGCCGGAGCCCGAGCTGGAGCCCGAGCTGGAGCCCAAGCGGGAGCTGGAGCAGGAGGTGGAGGCCGAGGCCGAGTGGCAGGCTGGCCAGCCCTGGGAGCTGGCGCTGGCCCGCTTCTGGGATTATCTGCGCTGGGTGCAGACGCTGTCTGACCAGGTGCAGGAGGACATGCTCAACAGCCAGGTCACCCAGGAACTGACGTGAGTGCCCCTGCCACTCCCCGGCGGGCAGTGCCTTCTGGACCCCCGGCTTCTGCCGGTGGCCCTGTCACCAACTCTTCGGCATCTCTGGTCATGTCTTGCTTCCTCTTGCCATGGCGAGCTCCTGGCTTGCTGGACCGCTCTCTTTCTCCGCTCTTCCTGCCTCTGGCCGCCGCCCGTCCATCAGGCTAGCTCAGTCCCTCGCACCCTTCCCTTTCATCTCTGCTTCTGCCCGTCCCTGTCCCCACCTTGCCTCCCACCCCCAGGGTTTTTCGCCCCGCTTCTCTCTCCCGGTGTGCGGCGCGCACACACGCTCCCGCCCTCTCTCGGCCCCCAGGACGCTGATGGAGGAGACCATGAAGGAGATCAAGGCCTACAGGGCGGAGCTGGAGGAGCAGCTGGGCCCCATGGCCTCGGAGACGCAGGCCCGCGTGGCCAAGGAGCTGCAGGCGGCGCAGGCCCGGCTGCGCTCGGACATGGAGGACGTGCGCACCCGCCTGACGCAGTACCGCAGCGAGGTGCAGGCCATGCTGGGCCAGAGCACCGAGGAGCTGCGGGCGCGCTTCGCCTCGCACATGCGCAAGCTGCGCAAGCGGGTGCTGCGGGACGCCGAGGACCTGCAGAAGCGCCTGGCCGTGTACCGGGCCGGGGTGCGCGAGGGCGCCGAGCGCAGCGTCAGCTCCATCCGCGAGCGCCTCTGGCCGCTGCTGGAGCAGGCGCGCACGCGCCAC